TGAGATGCCTGGTGGCAATGCAGATTATCTCCACCTGGGCAGTAATCACCCTTGAAAAGCCAGCAACAATGAACTGGGTGGTACCCAGTGATACCCTGGGCCCTATCACTGCATAGGAAATGCCCATAATACAGCAAATGTGCTGGGGGACTGGCAGCCAAATTCATTCAATTTTGATCAAAATTAATTATTGCTAACACACACCTTGCCCAGGTGTGGCTGGGCACCCCCAGCTTGTCCTTAATAATAAAGTTACTTAAATCCCTGCGTCGGTGAGTAAATTCGCACCCTTCCCTTCCCAGTTGCCCCCTACCTCCCTCCCACAGAGCCCCCAGAGAGGCCTGCAGGAGGGTCCCGTTTCCCGCGGTGGAGACTTTACAAATTTGGCAAAAATCGAATTCTTGAGCTAAATTACTTTTTAAAACTGCATAAAAAGCATCATTATGTTAGCCATGTTTTGCTTTTTGGCCTGCAGGAGGGTCCCGTTTCCCGTGGTGGAAACTTTACAAATTTGGCAAAAATCGAATTCTTGAGCTAAATTACTTTTTAAAACTGCATAAAAAGCATCGTTATGTTAGCCATGTTTTGCTTTTTTAAATTTTGAAAAAGCTTGAAAATTCACCAATTTACAGTGAAAAACGCAAAACTTTTTTAAAAAACGGGGATAACTCGGGGAAAAAATACTTTTACATTTGTAATTTTAGCTTTTTGAATTTTTAATTGTGCTTCATCAAAAAAATATGTTAATTCACAGAACATCCGTGCGCATTCACCCCTGAAATATGATCAAGATTCCATTACCCAACAAAAAGTTATCATGAGCTAAACTGAAAAAAACGGACATTCTTAAATATTCTGTTTCCCATTTTGACAAGTTTAAAAATTTGGCAAAAATTCAATTCTTATTGAAACTTACTTTTTAAACCTTCATCAGTAGCACCATATTGTTTTCCACATTTTCGCATTTTTAGTTTTCAAAAATCTTGAAAATTGACTGAAATAAAATGAAAAACGCAAAATCTTTTTTGAAAATTGTACAAAAATCAGGAAAAAAAAGATTTTATGTTTTGAATTTTTTCTCAGTCAATTTTCAACATTTTTCAAACATAAAAATATGTAAAATCTTACAACATCTGTGTGCATGTAACCCTGTCAAAAAGTTTGAAATTGCATCAAAATCCTACAAGTTAGAATGAGCTAAACAGAACATTTTAAATTCCCCACTCTGCTTTTCTTCTGGTTTTGCCAACTTAAAAAATTTGTTCAAAATTCAATTTCAACTCAATTTTCAAATTTCTTCCAATTTTGCCAGCACGCAAATGTTTTTTAGATCTCACATTTTCAAATTTTGAAAAATCTTCACAATTGATTGAGATACAATCAAAAGAACAAAAACATTTTTGAAAATCATATGAGAATTGGCAAAAAACGTTTTTTTTGTATTTTAGCTGATTCATTTTTCAAGATTTTTGAGTGCAAATATTTCATAAAATTTGGAAACATCAGTGCACATTTTACTCGAAATTTGTTTTAATTTAATGAAAAACAAAAAAAGTTTAAATGGGGCAAACTGAAATTTGGGGAAATTCTCTACTAAAGTTTTTAATTTTGAGCTGAACTTCATGACAGAACTTGAATCATTTGAAACCATTTTTAAAATCAAGTTGAACTTAAAACAGGGAACTTTTTTTAGAGAATTTTCACACACAGTCTTGAATTTTCATAAAATTGAGACCAGATTGACATTAGAATAGGCAAAAACAATTGGCACTTTTCTAAAAACTAATCCAGAGCAAAGATACAAATTTTGAAACCTAATTTTGAAGAAATAGACATCTTCCTATGTGTAAGTGGGTGCATCCTCTGTGTGTGGGGATATTAAATCTTCTGGGGGTTTCCCTTCCTGCAAGTCTTCATTCTCCCTCTCTGTCTGTTATACCTGTGAAATCCTTATGGTGGTTGCCAAATCATTACTCCAGTGATAATCTGGATTTTTCAATGTAAATACTGTATAACATCTTTCAAAAAATTATTTGGAAAGATCAAAACTAGCTGAACTGAAATTTGTTGAATAGCATAACAGAAATATAAAAACTGTATGCAGACAAATAAACATGTGCCAACATATAACATTTGAGGCATATAGAGTTTTGAGTGCCTAATTGAAAAATCAGTCAGAACACAATGCATTTTGTGGATAAAAAGGACAAGGAGCAAACATTTAACTCAAAAATCAAATTTGAGTCATGAACAGGCTGTATTTTTGAATTTTTGAAATGTGGCCTGTGCAGCAATGAATGGCAGAAGTTTGTTGATTGAATTAACTAAAAGGTGTGAAATTAAGCAATGGACCATTAAAATAGCCATTAAACACCAATAAACATTGACAGGTGCCTGGGAAAGGGGGATGTCAGCCAATCTAACCATTGTTTGAATTTTCCTGCAGACCCCAAAAATAAGGCTCCAGTTTTGGTGACCAAGATGAGTTTGCTTTTTAGGCTCTGAATTCTAGAGGCCACTGGAAGGGGTGAGGGTCAGGAGTCAGAGCCCAGTCCCAGTGTCTACAAATTTTTTTTTCACTGGGACTCACACATGTAGGACTTCAGTTTAGTTCTGAATTCCAAAGACAATTAAAATTAGTGAAAAAGGAACACACGGAATTAAGTGATCATCTCTACATTTTAAGTTCTTATTCACAAAAATATTTCTGTGTTTCTGATTTTTTTCCAGTGCTTTAGAGAATTTTCAAAATTAAGTGCATTCTAAACAAACTTTCTGAACTGAGCTATTCACAAAACTTGGTGAATTTAAATGTCAGCAGCAATGAGTGAACTACCAAGGGGTTTCCTAATTGTTAGCCATTCACACATAATTTCAAACATATGGGTATGAGTTTAATTTGGAAAGGGTGGGGTCCATATACCCAGATGCATATGAATATCCATGGGGTTTTGAACAAGTATTTTTCAAAAAAGGAATTGTTTGGTGAAGGCATGCCGAAAGAATTGGATAGAAAACTAACACCCTCATTGTGGTTAGACAGGTGGGGGCATAGGGGGGGGGGAGGTCAAAAAATGGAAGACCTTGGATTCATTACAGATAACAAAACTCCCTGCTTATGCACCACTCATGCATCACTCACAATTTTGACACCAAATGTAGGTTTGATGAGCAAAAACATTTACATCTGAGTTGCATTGGTTTGGCTTCCAGAAGTCAGAATTGCACAGGTCTCATTCCTGATGCATGGCCACTAGGGAAGCCTCAGTCAATCTCCCGAATTGTTTCACTGCATGCATGGTAGTGTTGAGGATTTGAATGTGTGCTTTATTCCCTTCAATAAAAACCTGGTGCTCAATGCAACAGCTTTCCCAATTAGGCCAAAACTGTTGCATTATGCATAATTATGAGACCAAGTTTAATTCTGAATCTTTGTAAAATATTCCTAAAATCTTCAACAGGATGCCCAGGTGTGGCTGCATGGGCACTCCAATCTTACAAATGGTCCTCAAACATGTCACTCATTGCTTTCATCATGAAGGCATTTCCAACTCTTCATGACACTTTGCCAATTATCACCATATATTCAACTGGAAGCCTGCTTACAGACATGAGGCCTACGTTACCATCATAACAAAATGTTAAAATCTTCTTGAAGTAATACTAAGCATTGCGCAGGTGTGGCTGGGAACCCCCCAGCTTGAATCCAATGAATGTGTCAAAGTTTTTAAAATTTTTGTCTTTCAACTTTAAAAAATCTTGAAAATTGACATAAGTTATACTCACAAATATAAAAATCATTTTCAAAATTTGGGGAAAAATCATGAAAAAAGTTGTGCAATCAATGGAATTTTCAGCAGTGCACTATACCCCTCTAGACACTTTCCCACTTGAAAGTGAAAATCTGAACCAGTAGCCTGTGCACCAGTTATTTAGCTACAATATCCTATTACTCTTGCTATCACACAGCATAAGGTTTGGCTTTTGTTTGGACTATGGTCCCTCCCTGCTGTTCCCCTAGGGGGGGGGGGGTTTAGGGGATGGAAGGGAATTGAGCCCACAAAAACCTAGGGATGTGGCAGCAACTTTAACAAATTAGGAGAGTAGGGTACCCAGCAACACCTGAGCAATGTGCATAAAACTGATGGTCCATGGCATGTAACCAGCTTTAATCCTTCAATATTTTTAAATTCTTTACATGATGTGTACTATGTAAAAAATACACCCACATTTGGCTGGGCACTCCAAATTGGGATTCTAACAAGTAATAAAATCCCCCTGCTCATGTGCCAGTTGTGGCCCACCGGGCCACAACTGACACATTGAGCACAAGTACAAGATTACCGGTGGTCCTTCACCAGTTAACCAACTTTAATCATAATTTTTTTCAAGTTCTCTGCATAATTTGTAGTATGATGAACAGTTGCATGAGGGCACCCCCTCTTCCATATATTAATTTCCTTAGTACATCAAAGTTTTCTAAACTAAAATGTGTCCGATGCCCAGGTGTGGCTGGGCACCCCCAGCAGGATACTGCAATAGAGTATAGCCAAGTAATAGGGATAGATGGTTGCCCATGCAATATTTCCACCTGGATGGGTCAGAAAAGAAAATTAACTATTTTCCAGACCAATGTCCGAAAATATACTGAAGTACATTACCGTACAATACAGTGCCTTATGAATAAGATGTGGGGCACATTTTGGAAACTAGGTCAAGATTCTCATGATGCTGACCAAAATATTGATGCAGGTGTGTACTATAGAGTATAGACAGACAAGAAACGGCAGGAGTAGTGTCGAATAAGCAGTGCGGTTCCTAATCTTGAATTGGACGAGTAGAATCAGGAATTCCTTTTCTAAGTTTTAAGGTTTTTGAAATGGGAAATAATCATTGGCAGTGACTGTTGCATGTCAATTTCTTGACTAATCGGCCTCGAGTATTGACGCTGGATACAGTATTGCTATGTCTTCGATTGCGATTGGTAATACCCCACCACCTTTTCGTGATTCAAGGAAACATTTGGACTAGAACCTTATTCTGTTACATGAGTTGTATGAACTGTAATATGCAATCGTAAATATGCGTGCTTCTACACTGTGACGTATCTGTGAGTGCGCGATCATGTCCGGTAAAGAGCAATCACGTTCCACAAGTTCAAGCATCGTATGGGCGTCAGCGATCGGGTTCCTTGGTGGTCTAGCTGGGTTTTTTGCAGGATGGAACTGGAGCAGGAACTACCATGGAGTTATGGTTTCAAACGGTGAATAAAATTCGTCCGTGTTTTTGACAACTGTAGCATTTTGTTTAATTTAAAGATAACCGAGGGAGCATTCGCGAAAACGCACTGTCACGTGCGGGAGTCAACAATTTATCGGACGTGTATTGCTGCGTTGTTTGCTGGGAAAAGGAAAGGAACGTTATTTTGAATTGTGAGCATTTGGTTCTATGTGATGCCTGTGCCGAGCGGGTAATGGATTGTCCCGTTTGTCGGAAGAAAATCACTTCGCGGCAAAATGTGCGACTCTTCTACTAATTTGACGGCACAAGTTGAAGTTTTTGTTGATCGACGAATGGTATGGATTCCCTCCGAATACTATATTGATAAAGGGCATTAATCGTGTGTGTCAGGGAGAAATGAAAACGCTTTTGGTAAGCGTAGCAGGGGTAATTTAGATCTTTAAATTTGTTGTGAAATTTTGTATCCGATGGAAGGATAAAACGCGTGATTAAACGAGAAACCCGTGGATTGAAGAATTGAAATGTGGTTCTTTTATTTATAAGCAAAAGACTATTCGAAAATCATGCGTTTCAGTGAATGAATCTTTAATGCGTCCCTTAGCATTATTTCGCCGTATGGCACAAAATTTGAAAGTTATTTTTGGGAGCGCAGTTCTGCACTGCCCTCTTTCTGGCTTCTAACTGTTTATGTCTCTGGCCATCACTATCTTCCCGTGAATATTCCGTTACTGATTCGAGATTATTTTATCTTCCGGTGCCGAACTGAAATGTTAATTTGATGTTATTGGGCGAAACTCTTCTTCCCAATCGTATGCTTGGAGTCCCCGAGGTCCGTAAATCACTTCGCTTTGAATTTTCCGAGGCCTTTGCCGGCTTCTGGCTATATCGTAATAACGTTTTCGTGATCGTTTTGCAGACCATTGTGTTGTGAAACGACTGTCAATATGTCGAAGCAGTTGGTAATCGCGGTCGTTATTTTTCAATTGACTTTTGCTAGTGAATTCTACGACAGTACAGACTACATGAAGCGCGAACATTCGCTCGTTAGACCGTATTATGGTAAGTGTTCCCGTTCAGCAATTGTTTCTTTTCGATTGTTTTTCCCTGAGTGACAATGTGTTCCACACTATATCATTAGGTTCGGGCATGGCGATGCCGCATTGGGATTTTGTTGGATCCACGATGGTGACTCCGAAGTATATTCGTCTCACCCCAGATGCCCAGAGCAAACGAGGTGGACTGTGGAACAGCGTGGTGAGTTAATCGTCCTTCGTTGGTTTTTTGTATAACCGAGACGTCTGCCTTTTCATAACGATCATATTTCCAGCCTGTTGCGTCGCGGAATTGGGAGTTCGAAGTTCATTTCAAGGTTCATGGCAACGGCAAAGATTTGTTCGGGGATGGATTTGCTATATGGTTAGTTCCAGGTCTTGATGTTCCTTTATATTTTTGAAGAACTGATTCGCCGTGTAGATTTTTCTAAGATCTCGTTCGAATCTCTTCGTGCCAGGTATACGAAAGATCGTTTGATATCTGGACCGGTATTCGGCAGCAAAGATTTATTCTCTGGCCTGGCCCTGATGCTCGATACTTATAGCAATCAGAATGGCCCTCATAATCATCCGCATCCGTACATTTCTGCCATGGTCAACAACGGAACTATGAGTTACGACCATGACCGTGACGGAACGCACACACAGATTGCTGGGTGCCATGCCAAATTCCGAAATGTGCCGTTCGATACTATCGTGTCTGTTCGTTACCAGAATGATGTACTTACGGGTGAGCTAAAAATTAATCTTACTGTACTCCCATTTCAGTATTTCATGCAGTATTCAGATTTTGTTCGCCTTCAGTACTACTTTGCTGATTTATCCTGTGATTTTTATTTAAACTTTTTTAATGTAAATTTTACCATGCACACATTTTTTCTCAAAATTGGCGTTTTTCTGTTACAGTGAAGACTGATATGGAAGGGAAGCGAGAATGGAAGGATTGCTTCGAAGCGTCTAGTGTTCTTTTACCGACGGGATATTTCATCGGATTGACTGCCGTGACGGGTGACCTGTCTGACAACCATGACATTATTTCTGTAAAATTCTATGAACTCGAATCTTCAGATGCTGTAAGTTTGAGGTGTATTCTCCTTGTTGAATTTTTCGACTAATGATGAACCCGTCGTTTTAATCATTTCTGAAGGAGGAAAACTCCGATCGGAGTAAGATCACCCCCTCTGCTGCGTTTTTTGAAGCTCCACGGGACCACGTGGATGATCCGAAGCCTTCATCGTTGAGAGGCTTGAAGATGTTCTTGCTTATCGTTGTCGGCGTTGCGGCAGTCGTCGGTTGTGTGATTTTAGGGCTCTATCTTTATCACAGGAATGATGAAATTTCGAAACAACGGTTTTATTGAGCTGCTACGATTTGCCTGCGGCGCATTGTGTGATAAACGAGTTTAAGGGCAACATTTTCCTTCCTTTGGATATCCGATGGAGTCACGAACTCGAGCCAGTTTTTGTGAAATTGTTCATTTGGTGTGCGGTGTTTCGACTGATTTTTTATGCGCTTCCGGTCCGCGATGTATGACAGTCAGGAAGTTAGTGAGATAATTACGAACAAACTGATCTTCCTGTATTTGACGTGTAAATGTTGGAAGTTCGTTGTAGTTGAAATTTATTCGTCACTTCCGCGATGCTGTTGCTCAACGACTGACCGTTCAAAAATGAAGGCATTCCTGAAAATCTTCCTTACTTGACGTGGTAGGTATGCTAGAAATTTGCGAAAGTTATTCTATTTGTTCTTTGATTTGTGTAGTATGGCGGAACAGTACTGAAACCCGTGTTGTTTTTCGAAGGTTTAAAGCCTCAGTTTGAAGAGGGAGAGTGTAACCTGTGAACTTCTGGGATAAAATTCATGCGAATGCTGGCCCCGCGTGAACTGCGTTGAATGTGTTTTTGTTGATATCTCCTCAGAAGTATCGAGATGGACAAAATGTTAGCTTTCAGCAATAAGACAAAAGTCAACAAAGAGTACAGGTGTATGATTCGCTTGCTTGATGAACAAGAAGAAATTCTGGAGTGTGATTTTCAAGTAAGTGCTGTATTGTCGAACTCGGAACCGTGCATCATGATGGATTTCCGGCAGGGTCATCACAAAGGACAATATTTGATGGACCAGGTTTGCTGCAAATTAAACCTGATGGAAAAAGATTATTTTGGCCTTCGATACGTGGACGACACGAAGCAGCGGCACTGGTTGGACCCAACGAAAAATATCTTGAAGCAAGTGCAGCGCATGAATCCGATAATGTTTTCGTTCCGTGTGAAATACTACCCGAAAGATCCGTTTAAACTCCGCGAGGAACTCACCCGATACCACATATTTTTACAATTACGTCGTGATTTGCTTCATGGTCGTCTTTACTGCTCTTTCGATGAGTCTGCCGAATTAGGCGCCTTCATCGTTCAATGTAAGAAGGAATCCCGGATTTTTCTATGTTATATACTGTTGAGGCTTTTCTTTGAGCAGCTGAAATCGGCGACTACGATCCGGATGAACATGGTCCCTCGTATCTAGCAGATTTTCGAATTCATCTGAAACAAAGCCCAGAACTTATGGAAAAAATTGAGGAAATACATAGGCATAAGATCGTTGGTCAAGTTCCTGCGACTGCCGAATCGAATTTTCTGAAGAAAGCGTCGCAATTGGACACTTACGGCATCGATCCGCATCCTGTCAAGGTTTGTTATTCAATTGATTATTTTCTTGGTTTTCTCCTCATTCGTTATGTTGCAGGATGCAAATGGAGCTCAGTTGTACCTAGGTATTAACCACTCCGGTCTTCTAACGTTCCAAGGTTCGCAGAAAACGAATCATTTTCGTTGGACAGACATCAAGAAGTTGAACTACGAAGGGAAAATGTTCATCGTTCATTTGACGTACAATGAGGTCTGTAACAATGTTATCCCGCACCGTCATCTGACGTAGATTTTATTTTTTAGTGAGCTAATAAAAAAATCTTTCTTTCGTCACTAAACCTCTTCGCTGCTTGCTCTGAATGCCCCGAGTAGGATGCGCGGAGAAAAGTAAGTAGCTCGTAGCTGCTTCACTCCACCGAATGTAGAAAGTGCAAATGCTATGCTTGATGATCTTTCTCACGAAATAGTTTCTGTACGGATAGCTCAAACGTGAACATGATTCATTCGTCCGATTTATTAGCGAGGAATAGTTGGCAAGCGTTTACAGTACTGTACTTGCGGAATGCTTCAAATGGATGCTTCATGAGCATCGGCCGTGCCCACACGCTTTGCTAACATTCAGTCATGGCGAAAGCTTGATCTAGCTTTTAGTGAATTGTTCTGTGTGAATAGTTGTTTCGATCGAAATACTGTACCGTACAACCTGTGTGTGGTGTGCTTCGATCAGCCTAATGATGCCGCCAAAATTGTGATCCACTATGATGAACCATGTTATTACTGTACTGTGCTAGTTTTCTCATATGATGAAACAATGTACTGTATTCTATCGTGGCTTTTGCAAGAAACCCCACTCGCTCGATTGACATGGGAGAACACTCTCTTTCGGGCATGCTAAAATAGTTTCAAATTTGAGGGTTTTCTCAATTCGAAAGGTAGTGAACTACTCTTTTCCTCTACTCTCTTGCTTCCGGTGTTCAAAATTTTCTGGTTATGAAATTGTCTGGTCCTTTGGGTGACGTCTTTGGGATGCTTCTGCTGCAGAGGAAACACACTGTCGGCTTCAAATGTCCATCGGGTCCTGCCTGTCGTCATCTTTGGAGATGTGCTGTAGAGCAAAGGATTTTTTTCACGTGAGATATTCATCGACTTAGTCAGCCGCTGACATTGCTGCCATCGTGAAAAAGCTAATAATGGACTGGAAATAATTCAGCTGAACGGTTCTGGTTTGTGTATCAATCTGAATCAGTGACTGGAGAGCTCTACTCGTGCCTTTTAATTATTTGGATCATTGTATTGTCGCTTGTTTCTGATGCTTTTCGTGGTTTCGCTATTTTGCGAGTGTCAACCTTTTCCTGTTCATAAAATGGATCCAAAGCCTGTGTTCGAAATTTTCCGTGATACGGAAGCTCTACAACAGTTTGATCTAAGCGTGTCCGGCATTGTCGCGAGCGATGTACATTATAGCGTTGATAAATGCTTCCTTCTGTGGAGACTGGAATCCTGGGCTAGTAGTGCACTATGAACTAGGAAATGACGTGTGTACGTTCACCAGGTAAAATAGTGTAACCTTGCAATAAGTATAGCTTTTTCGATCTAAAAGTGCACTTCTCCCGGTAAAGACGCAGCAGTTGTGTGAACTATTTTGTGATCAATCAAGCTCAGATTATTTGCGTCGTTACAACCTCGTTCCGAAATCGCTTGGACTTGATTTCTTCAGAGATGTTCTATCAGTTTTGACACTTCGTTCGTTCATCGCATCTGTAGGTTGAGTTCCAGCGATGAAGCACCCAAAGTCGTGACAGGCGGCAGCTTTTTCTCACGAGGCTCTCGGTTCAGATATTCTGGCAGAACTGAGAGAGAAATGATGGAAATGACTGCTGGGATTTATAGACATCCACCTCCGGTGTCTCGGTTAGTGTCCTTCGTGTACTGCGTAAGAACTCATCCCAAGTTTATCATATAATCCTAATTTTTTTCATTAGGTCCGCTTCATTCCGTAGCAGGACGGCACTCGCGCAACAACTGTCGCCTGCGAATACGAGCGATGATGAATTTGCTGCGGATGGAATAGGTGACGAAGATTTTTTTTGTTTTGTTCTACTAACATTAAAATTCAATTCGTATCAAAGTTGATGTGTGATCGATATTATTGCTGGTTGCTACATGTTGACTTTTCCACGATATCTGGCTCAATATTGGGAAAAAATTCTAAACGAATATCTGATGATTCGCAGGATTCACGGCACTCACCAGGAGCTGCAGGAACAGTACGCATACGGATCGTGGTGATGGCGTGCCTATGAACTCCCCTTATTATAAAGGTGGTAAGGATGTCATGGAACATGGCGGAAACGTTGGACTGCAGTTGCCCTTATCCTCTTTATCCGAAGGGTCCGAGTCCAATCGCTCGTCCGCGCACAACGTGAACGTTCTTGGACGTGAGTTCTGTTTTAAAATCAGAAACTTTTCTTCCGTGTGATAGTGTGTTTTTCTAATGTGCAGTACATAGTTCAATTCACCATTGTTACGCGAATGTAAGACACATCCTCTGAGATGTTGATTTATTCCTCGTTCCTTCGAAATGCTCTAACTAAAAGTAAAAGTAAGAAATTCATATGCGTATCTAATGTATACGTGAGTAGCTCCTCAAAACATCACCAAGTCAGTTGTACCAGTTGGACCGGAACGTGCACAAATGTTTCACAATTGTGATCTGAAGAAAGATGCATTTACAGTAATTGACGTTCTACAGATAACTCAACTTTAAATTGTTCACAAACCTTCCGAGTATTATTTTCACAACCGTGTAAATATTTTATTATGTTCGACGCAATCCTGTACTTTTTCAATGCATAACAAGGAGAGTACCTACGTTTCTTTTTTGCAGGAAAGGATAAATTGAAGTTGGGTCGATCGAAGGATGACTCAGTTACCGTCGGAATAGGTAATTCCTCCTCTGGGCAACAGAATTCTGCGTCTACCACAAAACAGCGACGAACGCGGTCAGCCTCCACGAGCTCCACTTCGTCTCCGAGTACCACCGAGGCCGCGCAAGATTTCCACGCCGAATTGAAGGCTCTCGTGGAATACAAGACCCCGACTGCCCCGAGATTTAGATTCTTGACGGATCTGCGAAAGGCACTCGCGGGTCGCAACGCGAGAAATTTCATCCTACCCGGCCTGGCCATTTCGTTTGTGGCTGTGGCCGTATTGACCGTCGTCATGCTGGAGTGTGACGTCAGTTTCCTAGCCGAATTTAAGGAAAGCCAAGAGATGGTCACTCTCCAGCAAAGATATTACGAGCCGCTGAAAAGCTTCTTTTCGCGCAACTTTTTTCCGCACTCCTGAAGCATAATCCTTGGCTTGTTCTACGGGAACAACTTCGTCTCTTCCGCAATGATGAGTTCCTGTCTCCTGCAATTGTAAGCGTTATTCGGAATCTGCATGGGTAAGTATCCCCGATCACCTGAATCAAACTCACGGTGGAAAGATATCGCAATCCTATCTTTGAAATTTCTCGTACGAAAAAATCAAGACATAGCTTCGAGGGATTTTTTCTGGTATATTTAGCTAAAGAACCCTTTGCGCACGTTTGATTCAACGTACAAAACGTTCGATTTCGAGACATTTCAACTTGATGAAGATCATGAGTATAATTGTAATTTCAATCTATTTCCTGGAGCATCGCGAATGAGATTGAGAGAATATTTCTGATGTATTCAGGTCGTTTTCCAAAGATGCGCGTTGCTGAATTACGACAAGGAAATGTATGATTTGTTCTACTGGCATTGAACTATCACGAAAACTTTCCAGTTTTAAGATTATGTCGGTCCTCCTTTTTTTCTGAGGAAGTCAAGTAAATTCAGCCAATCTTGTCTACGGTACATTTAAATGTACGATCCCCGATCTTTGAAAATATATCCTCGCGATGACGAACTCGATAAGTGAAACTTGAAAACTCTTCGTGTCGTCATGAAGCGCGAAGTAATGCGTGTTTGAAAAATCACTGCGACCAACGGTTTCCACATAGGTAAAATGAAATCATCATGCTACTTACAGGATGTGATTTATAGTCATGATGTTGCCATGTCGAGGTTGCGTTATTCGATTGTTTAAACTTCGAACGTTCGATACCTCGTTTCCTCCGAATACGTAAGATCTGCGTTTCAGCGTTGAATCTAGTCAAGTATAGGTGAAAGGAACGATTTTTTAACCAATGTGTTTCGTTTTATCGATTCGAGCCCTTTGAATCGACCAATGTCGAAATTTCACGACGGAAGAGCAATCGAACAAGTTACATGGTATGTTTACGCGGAAAATCGCTGATCAGGAATTTTTCTGGAACTTCGTTCCTCCTGATTACGACGCTTGTATGCTTTTCCCTTTGCTGGTAGAGCTTTCAGCCGAACAAGCTATATCAGTCCTCAACATTTAGCATACCGTTCTGTGCATCATTTTGTTTCGATTGAGATTAACCGTAAAACTCCGGTGTGCAAATTTGAAAGCAGATAATTTTCGTGTCCTTCTTGAGCAAACTAATAATTGTTGTGTTCATCTTGTACGTATTGAGTTGAGACCTCTTTAGAGCCATTCCCGTTTCCTTGAAAGTTTTCGAGGGTGACCAACATTAGTAAATTAATTGTCTGTGCGTTTTGTGCAACTTGAGCCGTGGTTGGGGTTGATGCAGCTGACGAAGGAATCGCTCTGTAAATACAATAAATTTTGTGGGTGATTTATGTGATTACTGAAAAGGGTTGGTAGGTTATTTATATGCTGCGAGGGAGCCGACGGGTTTTTTGTTTATTTGTTACGTTTTATTTCGAAGAAAACTGCACAGGTTGATATTGTCGTGCAAATTCAAGTTTTTCAAGACGTTTAATCGGTTTCCGCTGACGGTTACTGAAAACTTTCTGCAGTATTTTGAGCCAAAGAGGGTTGGCATTGGGAATTATTCGAGTGCACTGTGTTCAAATGTCGGCGCGGCATTCGATGTATGAATTGGTGGCAGGATTCGTTTATTTTGAGGGACTACCGGACTCAATATCGTTGGTTTTTTGAATAGCGTAGTGCGATTCCATTTTGTTCCGTTTGTCTCTGATTTGATGTTTACTGCCTTGTTTCTGAGTGCGATGAAATGACGTCTGGAATCTGGAGACACCAGAGATTTTCTGAGTAGTGTGGAGAATTCCGAATGATGTTGCACTGCAGGATTCGAGTGTTCAAATCTCTTACCTGGAAACTGAATTTTGCAATGTTTGCTTCTTTTGAGTGTGCATCATTTCGAAAGTTTTCCATCACTTCTTGACGTATTATTTAGTGCTTTTTTTCGAAATTATGATATTGTGTAGTTTTCCTGATCCTCCAGAGAAAATTGAACAGGTGTGTGTTGAGCCTGAGCAGAGATCGAACCGATGAGAGTTCCGCTCCTTGTCAATCGAGGCATGGCGTCCAAAATTGCGCAGACGACGCGGAAAGCTTTTGAAATATTCAGTGTCGAGTCAGTCACGAAAGACAAGCTTCAAGAATTGGTTCAACTCACTGCGCAGCTTACGGCTCGGGACATAAATCTGAACCTCGAGCAGGTATCCTCCAGTTCATTGAAATCTGTTCGATTTGTTTTCTTATCAATATTCTGTTTATTGATCGTAGGTGCGTAGAGAACGCGTGACTAGGGCTCCCGTGTCGTACATGGAAATTTTCGTCAATAAAGCATTGACCGTGTGTGTCTTCGTCCTGTGGGACGACACCAAGATGCCTATGCATAATCATCCTGATATGCACGGGATACTGAAGGTGTGTGGGAAAGTCGTTCAAGCTATTGTCTTTTTTATTTTCATAGTGCAAGATCTGTTCATTTGGAAATGTTTTTAGACTATATCTTGACGTACATTCTATTTCATCGTTTTAAAATCGTTCATGATTACGGTAGATCTTTCTACGGTTTGCCCCCGAGGGTGTCTTACTTTTTCTGTGAAAACCTTTCATGTTCTAAGTGTTCTGCTTGTGGATCGTAACTTTTCGAATGCTATTGATTTACTCAATTTCAACATTTCTACTTGCTCCAGTTTGTTGTGCGTCGCCTTGGCAAAGTTTAATCAATTGAAATCTACCTCGTTTATTTTTAGGTTCTGCATGGGACCGTTCGAGTACAGTCTTACACCGAAGCGCAACTTAACAACAACAGTGGTGAACGTAATGTGGTGCCGGAAAATTGCAAGAAAGCGAGCTGGCTGTGGAATCGCGATCGAACGCTCGGTGGTGACGGAAAGGAAGAATATGTGCTTGCAAAGAAACATGAAGCTATCTTTTTGAATGCTGGTGAAAACGAAGCGCCCGCAATCCTTTATCCAATAGACGGAAACATACACGAAATCCAAGCTGTCGACGGGCCCGCTGCTTTCCTTGACATTCTCGCTCCGTCATATGAGGCGAGATTTTCTTATTGATTTGCTTTTGTATCCTGAAGAATGACGTGAACAACATTCAAGTCGCCAATGCATAGCATATCATAATTCTTACCAATCCAACTGGACCAATCTTAAATACATTTCGCCCGCTACTCAAAATTTGCCAGATGCTGTGAGATTAGTGTGGGTATTCTTGTTGAGTGAAGTAAGCCATATTTTCATTGGGCTGCTTCCATTGAAAGAAAGTTGGGAAACAAAGCTGTCATTCACTGCATTGTCTCATGTGAATTAAGTTATGATCGAATTTGCTCTTGGGAAAACAAGATCATCTCCCCCGTTGAAAAGAAGGATCTTGGAATCTGGTTGAATTGAAAAAATTACTCATTTCTTGGCTGACCAGGAGTTTTAAAAGTGCTCCGTGGACCGGTGCCAGTCCGTGGAAATTTTCTGGCGAACCACCAGGAAATTTCCCATTAGCCGGTCTACAAATAATTTATTTTCTTCCTTCGGAGTTAGTAGGAAAGGTCAACTACGAAGATTTTTCTCAGTTGTGTGTGTTCCTCGAATGTCATCAGAGGCGAACGAGAACAGATGATAATTTCAGAAACTTCTGCTTCTCAAAATTGTCGACCCATGAGAAAATTCGCGTAAATTTGTTGATACTGTTTCTGTGGCGTGCCAGGAAGAATGTCTGACAGAGAACGACGCATGCGTTTATTTTGTTTGACCTTCCGTTATGCTCAATGACAAGTTTCGTAGACGTTGGAAAATCTGAAGAATGAAGTTCCAAATCTTGCCGGTGTTCCGAGCATGCTGGATAGCGGATTTTACGTTAAAAGAACTTGTGGGGGGTGCTCAATAACTGGATGCTGGTGAAGTTATGTCTGTGAAGGGAGTAGTTGACGATGTACTGTATTTCGGTACAGTACAATTTTTTAAAATTGAGAAGTTCTGGAACTCTTGAACCGAAGTCGTAGGAAAATGCGAGATTAATTTTTTGTGGCTTCGAAGAATATCGCTGGGGTTGGAAGATTTTCAGTTTTCCTTAGCAAGTCATTCCGACGTTAACAGGTACGGAAAAAAATGAACTTGAATATCCTATTGAATGTTAACATTTAACAAATCGTATATTTATTGTTCATTTTTTGCACATTTTCACTAAATCATCCGTCGAAGAGCCTGCACAGAAGTGGAAAAAAGTAGCTTATATTTTTCAAGCTCAGTCAGTTCACGCGTTTAAAATTTATTTTGCCATATTTTAATTTTTGGTTGAGCGTCGGTTCAACAGTTATTTTATCTATTTTTTTCATCAACAGGATGGGCACGCGATCAAATATTTCGAAGAGATCCTTACGTTGTCATCGTCTAATGATAAGTCAATAGATGGCAGCAACAAGGAGCCTTTCGTGTGCTTGCGATCTGTTCTTCCGTCACGCCACTTCAGCAGCGAAAAAGCCGACTACCGAGGTCCACCAGTAGTGCTGTGAAATAGTTGAATTGTCGATCATTGCGCGTTTGCTTCCGATGTAATTCGTTTCATTATTCTCAAACGCATTCTGGCACCTGGAAGTTCGTTTGGATTATGGTTTCTGAATATTTCGGATTTGTCCGTGTGTATTTGGGGGTCCATGCATACTGCGTATGTTCGATGGATCGTTGGAGATTGCGTGGTAGAGTTGAGAACGTTTCGACTTATTCGAAATGTCCGCGAAAAAGCTTCTGTTCGGTTTTCGTGGGATCGATTGTTACCAGTCTGTTGGAACTTTTCGCCCGGAAAATGAAAAATTACCATGGCTCAAGTGATGGCCGATTTATGCAGCTGAAGGAAAGAAATTGAACTGCTATGAGAAGTGCATTCTGTCAGCTGCATGCAGCAGTGCCAGGTTCGTTTTAACGTTAAATTGGATCAATGTATCAATTGTGAGGCCTACTTCCTTGAAGAAAAAAATGGAACAGCTTTGAGCATTCACGACATGAAATGGCCATTGCTTATTACACAAGCTTACCTCGCCTGTTGGGCTATTTAAAAAAGTCTTATTCGAAAACTGAAGAATACTTGTCTTTCGCAGAGACTTGACTGATTTGTGAAAGGATCCAGCCAGGCGAACTCGCTGAATTTGCTGATTTTGTTGACAGCGTTCTGTCAAGAGAAACGATTGTTTTTACTTGAAAAAGATGCAGTTCCTTAAATGTTGGTGGTGATATTCTTGGAGGAGAAACAAGGACTCCGCATTCTTTTGTTTCTCGACGCGGTGGTGATGAGGGACGGGAAGACCGAATTATTCGGTCGCAAAAATCACTGTTGTAGGAAAATAATATTGTATGAGCGCAGGGATATTTTTCCTTGCGTATATTTTTCTCAACGTACGTGCGTGCTTCATGTACTTTTTTGTTAGATTGCCTTCTATTTATTTTTTGAATGTCTTTATGAGGGCGATCAATTGGTAATGGAGGGCAAAGTTGTAAAAGATTCCTGTACCGTTTAGTTGATTGTCTGATGAGATGTAGTATTTTTCAAATGACCTAATCTTCAAGCTATTGTTTTCAGTTTTCACGCGCAGGTTTATTGAGTGTGGCAGGTTTCTGAGATGTGAGAATTCCGAGCTTCGAAACCATGGAGGGAAATACTATGTTGGTTTCTGTGGCGGTGCTATATTGGGCGACCTTCTTCTGCAGCATTTTTTTGCTTGTGCCTTTGGGTTTGTCTCAGAATCAGATGCAGGTATGTATTTCTTGGATCGGACTACTAGAGCAGTCCGCATGTGTTTGGTCAGATGAAATATCAAATTTTTAATATTCTTTAATTAAGACTTTTCGTGATGTTCGGGCTTTCGAAATCGTGTCCTGGAACTGTTCGCCTGAAGATTATCGAGTGATAGTAGTATCTGAAGTTTCTCTAAACTTAACGTGAGGTTACTTTGAACTGGGATTCCATCGAAAACGTTCAGTGATGGTGGTTTCCAAAACTTTGATGAAAATGAATATTTCTTCATTTTGTTTCAACATGGTGATGTTTTTCCGCGTTTTTTGACAGAATGTATTGTATGGCGACGAAGAGAATAATGGATGCATGTTGTTCGCCAGCGTGGGATTTTACAATTTCAAGCAGCTGCGTGGATCAGACATGAGTATTTGCCGAATGTCTTTCATTTTTCCGATTGTTGCAATGATCATAGGATTGGTCTTGGCATTCTCGCATTCAGTGCGAGCTTGGCGAGCAGTGGCTGAAATGGATGAGCAAGTGAAGTGAGTTTTCCGTCTGGATATTTTGAAGAATCTGGTTACGATTCTCCGTTATAATCTTTGGAATGAGGTTTAGACTAGGTCTCGTTCTAGATTCTTCTTGGTTATGTGAAACTTTCTAACGAATCTTGTACCACTGTTGGCGAATAAAAAAAACTTTACAATTGAAGGTACAAGATGTGGGCGTGGCCATGGCTGATCGTGGACTTCGTCGTACTGCTCATAATGGCGCTGTGTGCGTCATACACGAGCGTTGGTTTGGTGACGACGTGTGATGATATCCGCAGGCACATGATGTCCGACTTGCACTATCTGGAGCAGCATCTGCAAAGGTGATGCATTATCAATTTTCTGCCTTAATTGCATGAATGCTGGTATGGGTTTGAGTCCTTTTCAGTGAGATAAATTATCCTTCGTTATGTTTGCAGCTGCTTCACCTACATCGCCGGCGAAGGAAGTATGCGAATCGATTTGGCAGTATGCGTTTATTTAGCTGTTGCCATGTACTGGCTGTTGACAGTACTCTGGCTGGCATTGACGATCATGGCGATCCTGAGAGTACGCCGTAACGCTCGACATCGTCGCAGATTACGGAACGAGCTTTTCTTTCCTCCCCCACAGCCAGAAACGGCGCTGTGACGTGGAAAACAAAAATGCGGTCATGCAATGGTCATCCAACATGTGTTCCAACGAGGTTCAAGTTGTTGATCGCCCTGTGCAGTTCGCTATTACGAAGTATCAAATTGTCATGCGCGCATACGTTTTCATTATCCGTCCATTTCGAGTTTATTTTTCATTGTTGTATTGACCTTTCGGTTGATTCTGTATTCGTGTGCCAGGCTGCTAGCTTGCCGCCTGACGATATCGCTTCTGGTGCTTTCAAGAAATGGTTGTGCAGCAGCGACAATTGACGGAACATGTGAATTTGAGAGCTTGCATTCATAACTTTTTTTATTCCATGTTCTAAGGCGTGCTTATGAAGTATGTTTTGCGTACAGATGACAATAAATTATTTTTACCGTGGTGCTTGTGAATTCACTACTTTGGAAGGGGTATTTCGAAAGTTCTTGTCTATGAAAATTGAACAACGTTGTAAGTTTCAATACTTTTAGTTTGAACCAAATTTTTCATGATACATTTCAAAATTGTTCATGCATCTCTTCCGTTTATGAATTAAAAATGAAAAGAGCCACGAATGTTAAAAATCATTAGTGACATGTCATCCGCTCGGAATTCCAAATGTAATTCAGCAGAAGTTGTGACGCACGTTACCAATCATATCGACGGTACGGCAGTTTGTTCAACCTTGTGAAGTATGAAAAATCAAAGGGGTATTCGTCATAATATAAAGGGGGAGAAAGATCGAATGACCAAGTTATTTCCTCTTGGCGAGGTATTGGTGTACGTGAAGTACAGTACTGTATTTGAATTATTTTCATAATCCCGAAACATGTGACATCCTAACAGAGAATATCGAAAATGAAATTTAAATCACTTTGCCGGAGTTCATTAACATCAACCATCATTGTCGACCTAAATTTCGTTGCAGGAACTACAATACCTCAATTCTCGGCTCAATCCGCGATTAAGCTAAGCTGCTCGTATTGAAAAAAAAAACTTTCGTAATTGTGCCGAGTTCGGTATCAACTTTTGAGCCTAATATACGTCGAAAAGGAGTAAGCCTCAATAAACTCATGAATCAAAAGATATTTAAATTTTCTTGACAAATGTGTTGATATATTGATTGTTGTGCTTTTCCGACTTCGGACACCGCGTGGATGTGCGGCATAAATATTTAAAACTCGTTCACGGCACACCATGCTGTCACACTGAATGATAGGGGATCCGGATAAGTCTACACACGATACATGAAAAGTTCACTATTTTATATTTTTGCAAGGTTTTACTGCAAACCCATATGACACGGTTTAATTTCCAAGGAAGGTTTTTTCATGTCTAATTCTTAGTTACCCACTCACTTTGCGATCCAGTCGATTGTGAACCACAGAATGCAACCGTTACGTGTGCTGCGTTCTCGGTCCCCCATTCGCGCCAGAATTCAAGCTTGTGCAACCGTTGGATTAACCAGGTCAAGTCTGTAAGCTTCAGAGTACAATACTGAATGCAGTATCTTGAACCTTACAAAGAAGTCATGCAGTTGCTAATTGATGAAATTTGTGGTGTTAAAAATGGACGAGTTGAGAATGTATCATTCCGAACTTGTGAATCCTTCTCCAATTTCTGATGTATTTAATGTGTGATACTTTTCTATTGCCAGTGATCAAATCGTTGCTGAACGAAGCGCTTCTGCCATGGATGATTACCTGAAGCTTGAAAAGCTCGGTGAAGGTGCGAATCACAATATCTTGACGTTGTGATCAATGTATAGATCGTCTCGTTTATGATTTAGGAACATATGGTGTTGTGTACAAAGCCCGACACAAGACGACGGGTAAGATAGTTGCTCTGAAGAAAATTAGACTGGAAAGCGAAGATGAAGGTGTCCCTTCAACTGCGATACGTGAAATTTCTGTTCTCAAGGAACTACAACACCCGAACATCGTACGGTGAGTGAAGAGGCATGAATCGTAGTTTTCTGTTGGTAAGCAACTCGCTGCACAACCGTTCTGATTGATCAGGCGTTCTTCGCGACAGGTTGTTGGACGTCCTTATGCAAGAGAAGAAACTCTTTCTCGTGTTCGAGTTCCTGTCGATGGATTTGAAAAAATATTTGGACTTATTGCCAAAAGACGGTGGTATGGATCCGGTTGTGATCAAGTCATACTGCTTTCAGGTCGGAGTTCGGTTCCACTCCAGAATGTTTCGGCCTTTTTAACGAGCAATTTTTTCAGTTGTTGCAAGCTCTGCTATTCTGCCACAAGCGACGTATACTGCACAGGGATCTGAAGCCGCAGAATCTTCTTATAGACAATTTGGGGACCATAAAGATGGCGGATTTTGGACTCGCCCGCTGTGCTGGAGTTCCTCTACGTGTTTACACTCACGAAGTAAATCTTTGGCATTAGCCTGACCTGAGTCTTTTTTTCGAAATCCAAACATTGTTCCTACGTTTCAGATTGTCACCCTGTGGTATAGAGCGCCTGAAGTCCTTCTAGGTTGCCCGCGATATAGTGATGCCGTCGACATCTGGTCCGTCGGCTGCATCTTCGCCGAAATGTTTCTGAAGAAACCTTTATTCCAAGGAGATGCTGAAATCGATCAGCTGTTCAGAATTTTCAGGTATATTTCTTATGCGTTCACGGTTTGTATCCGTCGTTGAGAGAAAATTTATGTACAGAATGCTGACCACACCAACTGAGGAATCGTGGCCCGGAGTGACTTCTTTCCCCGACTACAAGGCTCACTTCCCCACTTGGACCGAAAATACCCTTGAGAAGACACTAAGCAGCCGCATGCCTCCTGCAGCCATAGATTTACTGAAGGTGATTGTCTGTTGTAAATGCCTGAGTGAATTTACTCCGCAGGCATTGAATCAAAGATTTTCGATGGAAAAAATACTAACGAATAACGTACGTGCCTTATATTTTATTCTATTCTCGTAATTCTATCCCCACTGCGAGGTTTTTGAATCGTTTCAATTCCTTTCAATACTGGTGTCGGTGAAAGGATTCAGAGATGTCTAATTTTAGCTGATCGGTTCAGTGCAGCATGGTCTTAACTTTCGGATTTAGTATGCTGCACAAGAAGTCTTCGATTACCTAACTTGAAAATCCTGGGGCGTTTCTTTTCAGGAAACGCTTGTATACAACCCTGTTCGGCGGATTTCTGCGAAAGCTGCTTGTAAACATCCGTATTTCGCCGATCTTGACAAGACGACGCTACCGGCTCCAATTGAGGAGTGAAAAAAAATTGTTCGAGAAAGGTTGGCTGAAGCGAATGTTCGTCTTACCGTTTGTATTGTTTCTTACAAGTTTTTCAACTCTTCAAAAACCAAGTTGGTCACTGTTGAATGCGAGAGGATGACGATTGTTGTGATATTCTGTGTCTTGAATTGAGCTGCTGCGAAGGGCGAGTTTATGTCTTTGACTTACTGCTGGATGAACCCGATGAGAGAAAATCTGAGAAGAAAAAATATTTGCACTAACTTTAGCATCATCGACTCAGGATCTCTAATGTGAATCGGCGAAGTGAATTGACCTCTTATCATTCTGAAGTCTGCTTGATTTCTCGCATTAACGCGTTGTACTGTTTAACATTTCATTTCATTTTAAAGCTCGATATACGTACTCAAGTGCTTCTGCGAATTTCTTGGTGAACTCTTTTGAATGTCCTGTTTGTAAGTTAGACACATGCTTGTAATTTAGTTTGTTTCTGATCTTCGTGTTTTTACCTGTTTTGTTGAAATTATACGTTCACGGCGAATTTATAATCGAGAGTATTGCAACGCTTGAAAAGTGGCTGCTTTTCGAATCGATCAAATTCAAGTCTCGGGTCGTCAAGAATCGCCCTTGCACGTGTGGTACTCTGCATTAAATCTCATAATTACCTGTCAATAAATGAAGCTCATTGAATGAGGCTCTGATCATTCTTTTATTGCCGTTTTCATTGTGGTTCAAGTTCAGGATGATTCGCGTGATTCTACCTTTCGTTAGAAAACTGCAGTGTGTCGTGCAAACAAAGTTCGATGAAAACAGCATAGAGCGGTCATGAATACAAGAAATATACGTCGGATGAGGCTTGCTGGTCTGCTCCCGGGATACTTGCGCCTAATTTTTATTATGATGTGGTGAGTCCTCCATCACGGACATAGAGGAAAATATGTGAATTTAAAAATTCTTTGTGTTGAGAGGGTTTCGGGGTTTAGCGCTGAAAACCGCACTGCAGCTCAGCAGTGTCAGCATTACAACTTGTCCCCCCCCCCTCCCGAAATAGGCACTGCAAAGCTAGGAAAAAAAAAAGTACATTTTGGCAGTGCCTGAGCTTTTCTTGATAGAAACCATCATCTGTAGATCAAGGACAGTAGTTGTATAGGAAGTTTTTGATAGGTCATTAATCAGGCTAGAGTAGAAATGAAGTCCATGAACAACTTTGAATACTGTGGGGTCTTGGCTTACTTGGCTTAGTACCCTGGCTTATAAACTTTCCAGCTGACAAACTTAACACTTTTTGACCTCAGCTGCCCTGGCTAAAAAATCATGACTCTGCTTACTAACTTTTTCTTGAAAACACTTTTTTGGGTCTAAAAAATGTTTCTAGCAAAGCCAGGAATTCAAGTTCCAACTTCATTAATATATCAAAGAATGTCTCACAAATTTTGAGATGCATTGATTGTTGACCATTAATTTATTCTTTTTGTTAGAGTTACAATTGAAGCATTTTGTAACATCAAAGATTATGCATATGCTGTAGTCCTTTAGATAGTTTAGAATGTCAAAAATGTGTACAACATTGAAAGATTTTCTTCAGTAAACTTTTTGTAACTGAATTTAATTTGGCTTCATTGTTAACAACTGGAACTGATCATGAAATGCATAATTCTGGGATTTTTTGTGTGATTCAAATTGAAGTTTCAGCCAAATTTTTACAGATTTGCCAAAGAAAAATCCACACTTCACAAAATACTTGTTCAAGCAATTTTAAAAGGTTAGCAGCCCTTCGCGCTGTGTGAATAGGTTTTGAAATTTTCATGAATTTAAATTTTTTATCCAATTGACATAAAATTGAAGCAGTTCGATTAAAATTCTGTGGTATTTGCTTATCTATATGAAATTTAAAATCAGTTGGGCTGGTCACATTGGTTTCAAATCATTAGTTCTTGAAAATTTCATTTTCTGCTGCTTGGAAATTTCTTGTTCAGAAAAAATGACGAGAAAAGCTTAAAATTTGTTTCTTTAATTATTTCTGTCTGGAGCGATTCTTTTTCTCCTTGAACAACTGTTCAAAATGCAGCCCATAAATGAAATGATTTATTTATTTTTGACAATTGTTGAATGAAAATGTTCATTTTTGATTGAATGGTTTCTGGTTTGAATTTAATAATAAAAAACTCCTAGAAAAAAATCACCTTAAATTAAAAATGAATATTCAAGGGGCTGATCTATTGCAGCAAGTTTATCTTGTATTCCGTTGAGGACATACATTGGATTTCAGGGCTGAGAATATTTTAGGACACCTTTTTTATTTTCATGTCCACTTTCAAGGTCCCAGAACCAATTAAAATCATTCCTGTGTTTTTTAACCCTTGTGTGGCGAAGTGATATTTTTGCAAAATTTTGTGCCACTAAGCACTGGAAATTTAAAAATCCTACTTCTGGGCCAAAGTTGGGAAAAAGGGAAAAATTTGTTTAATCCTGCAGAAGATATTGAATGAAATATAAAAAAAATCACTCACTGTTCAGCATTTTTTCCTGCATTCATAGGATTTGCATGGGAGGATCCTGAAAACAATATAAAATTTGCCTCCTGGCTTTTTCATAACTTAATCCTTCTCAACATGGGAGCATTTCAGTGACCTTGGGTCAAGCTGAAATGTGCTGCACCCCTAAGAAATTCTGACTTCTGTGCCACAGGAAGGAACCCTCTGTTGTCCAAGGGTTAAGGGAACATGATTTGGCTAACAAACTATTCAGCTGAGAAACTTTCCTCTGGAACCATTTACGTTTGTAAGCCAAGACCCCACTGTACTGTATTACAGTAAGCTTATGCTTAATAATTGAAATTTTATAATTTTGTAAAAGCCTTACTGACACCAATGGTCTAAAGGCAGCAGTGGGCCATGATTGTGGAATCCTCAACAACATTCTCAGTAACAGCAACATATAAATTGTGCTTTGACATGGATGTAATTGAGCACACTGCAGTACAGTAATTTGGTTTATTGTGCAATTGGCAACAAGTGCAAAAGTGTAAAGATTATCTGGATTCAAAAAAGCAGCTATGCTAAGTCAAGCCGAAGTCCTGCTGAGCATGTTCGCTCTTCAATTCAACCGGCTTATCCCAGCCCTTCTCCACCTTTGTATCCAGTCAAATCCCGTGGGGTGATGTAAAATGAGGCGACTAAGAGGTGAATTTGTAGAATTTTTATGAGTGGAACGAAGCAACCAAGAAGAATTCTTAGCTGTGTTATTCAACAGCTGGAGACATCATGAATAGCTTCCAAAATTACCCCAGGTGTGAAACAGGTTTTGAGTTTCAATCTTCTTAGTCACTGTGATTGACAAATCTGTTGCTGATTTGATGATTGATTTGGTTCGTTTTTCGGGAGACTCTTTGCATAAATAGGCAGTCTGCATCTCTACAATGCCGTGCTTTTGGTTTTGTATGTGCAGATTTTATTGTAAGTATTCTCACGTTTTCCCCTCCACGATTCGCAGCAATGAAGAACGCGTTTGTTTTTCTGTTGAGGCTCGCACAGAACTGACTTCTCCAGTTTGATATAACTTGATTAACTTTTCAAGGTATAATTGCCAAATCTGACTTGTTTGGGTCTGCGTTATTTAGAAATTCTTACCCTGCCTTCATTCTGCACTGCCAAGCTTAAATTCATCTTCAGTTCAGTACTTATGTATACACTGTACAGTATCTTGACCATATTTTATGTGGAAGGGGGTTTAATCAGTGACTTTTCTAGTCATGCATCTGAAGTTGATGTAGAGGCTGCGGAAATCCTCCCGATCTATCCCAACCTTATGAGCGGGATGATTTTTTCCCTCGACTTCTGGGTACGTACATGGCGCGCCTTTGGATAATGCTCGGCAGTCCATTCTGGTTCGCGGGGTTGCGCTGCCAGCTCGCGCTTCGGCGTTCCCTAGGGAGTCGCTCGGAGATACAGTGCGTGTTATCATCAGTCGCCTGTGTTGTTTGAGAAAGAGCTTTTCTTTTCTGGCCAACATTGAAGCTTATTTGTAGCCACTTTTTTATCCATCCATCCCTGTTCTTACTTCGTGCCGGGTTCAGTTGCGATTGGTGTCAAGGTGATCGCGTCGCGGTCGTTCTTTTTTTCTTATCTCGCCGACGCCTGAGTCACTGACACTGTAGGTCGTCCTCCTGGGTTATTATACTTCAAAGGTCAGTTTGTTCTTGTTTCTTCAGCGAGCAGGTATTCGTCGCATTGGAGCGTATTTGGAACATGTTTAACTTGCTTTCTTGCGTGCGTCACAAATTCCGCTGTTGTAAAGAAGTGAGTTTTTCAATCGTAAATTCAGAAATCTGATGAGTATGGCGTATACGTGTGCTTTTTTTAAAGTGTTTCTTTGACAACATGAGTACGGTATATGTTATTCAGGAAATAACTTCGAAAAGGAACTGCTTATGCAATACTGTACTCCGTACCCCTGCGGAAGGTTCGTTGGGACCAAAAAAACTATCGTTACCCAAAGAGTAAGACAGAATCGTTGAATAGATCAAATCTCTTTAAACAAAAATTCAGATTTGTTTTTCTGTAAGTCGGAGATTATTTTATTTAAATCCAATGCGAGAGTGTTTTAAAAAAATAACATGGTTTCCCCGCAGAATGACGGTTTCGTAACGCTAAAAAATTGCTGCTGAACTTCGTGTTTCAAAGTACAGTACAGACATTTTTTACTCTTCTGTAAATAAGTGACAGATAGTGAATCATCATCACTAAAAAATTAGTTGCATAATTGAAAAAATAATGAGTAAAACATTTTGTGAGGGTTTGTAGCATTCTATACATAAATCCTACTGTGATCCGGCAAAGACCTTTGAAAAACATTGCTGTAATGAATACTTTTTTAATGGTCATCGTTCTGACGGAATTTCATCTGTTTAGAATGCGCCTGGATATTCTCCCTTGACCTCTACAAAGTTCTTGAATCGTCCCTGGAAATTATTTGCTTCACGAAGTGTTTGAAATGGTCGAAAGTCGCGTAGAATTTTCAAGTAGTACTAGTACAGTATTTGAATGCAAATTTGTACAATGGTTAAAAATTCTGGATCCCGGCGGAAATGTATCTCATATCATAATTACGAATTTAGTAAGCTATGTGCAGTGCTGTTAATTGTAGTTAATAACAGAAAATGCCCCAAAGGCTCTGCACATTTATTTGTTTTCTCACCTATAGAGCTTTGCTACTATTGTTCATTTCAATTTTTTAGAAATTGTAAAAGTATTGATGCATTCCAAATTTTTTTGTTCTTCTTCACACGAAAATTAATCATTCTTGGGAAGAAGAAAACAAAATTTGGAATGCATCAGTACTTCTACAATTTCAAAAAAATTGAAATGAACAATGAAATGAACAAATTTTTTGTTCTTCTTCAAAAAAATTAATCATTCTTGGGAAGAAGAAAAAATGGAATGCATCAGTACTTTTACAATTTCAAAAATTGAAATGAACAATGATTAAAAATTTAGAATCGATGCACTTTTTTCCTGGATTAAAAATTATAGGAATCCTTGGGAATCAGGGATGAACCCTGTGCAACGGGGAGACAACTCCAGGAAGAAAACATGGACAGCATCTAACACTGCTTAGACTAGTCTATCCTTATCCTGCCTTCAGAACTTAAGGCGGAAATTAAAAAAAAAGAAGTCTCCTAAAATCTCAAGGTAATACAAAACATATCACAAGCAGAAACCAGGCTTTGAATTATTTTTTGAAGAGAAAAGAAACAAAATTATCAGAAATGAAAAGTGCTTTTGGAAAAACTCAAAATGGACTTACAGTATTTTTTATTTGTGGCAAACAAAGTAATCATTGAAAAAAATTTTAAAATTACAGAAAATGTAGGAAATATTGTTTTAAAAACAAGAAAATATTTTGAATTTTTGTCTAGAATGAAAAATTTTCAACAGCTTGTGTATGGATGGAAAATGCTTGCCAAAACTGGAAAGTTTTCACTTTGTGTCTTGCAGTAAATCTAAAAACTTGCAAAAAGATCTAAAAGAAATCTTAGAACCTTAAAGTTGGATAAGCTTAATGGTAGATTCTTTTCAAATCTACTATATACCACTGTTGGATTTTTGCGTATTTCTAGTCTAGAAATACCAAAGGTCAATGAGAAATGGGACATCCCTCGCATATTCTTAAATTTCAAAAATATACATGCTCACTTTGTTTCTCAGTGAGCCAGGAGTTAATAGCACTTATAAAGAAATGGGTGTTCCAAAAATATGTAGTCTGGCTTTCATTTCTGATAGGTTACACGAGGTCGGCTTTGTTCTATTTTCTGAAAGTACTCATTCCATTGATGAGACTATCAAGTAGACGTTGCCGCCACGACAAATTTTATGATTTTTTTTTCTTTACGCTCAACGGTATGGTAATTAAAATTTTACGCTGTCACTTCATCTTCGCCGGGATGAAAAATATATCGGTGCTGCGCCAAAAATGAAAGTGGCCCTCAATGAATATGAGCATAGTAAGGTGATTCATGAGTTCGTATTTTCTGAACGTGTTAGCTCGATCCTCTTCAGCCGGGCCCGTGTTGCGTAATCGAAACTTTTCGCGTGTTTGCCCCGATGAAACTTGAGTTCAGTGATGCCAAGAGAAGTGTGAATGCAACTCTGGTTCTCGTGGGTCTGTTACCACAATGAGTGTTTCAATTGCGAAACCCGGTGCCCTGAAGGAAACTCATCCGTCCGACTATAAACTCGCTTCGTTTTGTTCTCGTGCCCTCCAGCTGTCCCGAAGCGCGGTTATGGTTCAGTAGACGAGAGAGCTATCAGAACATTATTCGACATTATTCTAACATTTTAATGATCGTAATGATTGGGCGCCATGCGAGGTCGTGAGACGTTTATTCTGTTCAATTCAAGATCACTCCAAGAGCTCAGCATGGTGTATCGAGAACAGTAATGTTTTGATGCAAGATGGACATGTACGCACACGTTTGATCCCATGTCAATTTCCCTTCAAAGTATATCAATTATGACGCAGAACCTGTGCAAATTTTATATTTTGGGATAGTCAAAATTCCATTAATTGGAATGACTGTAGGTTCCTGGGTTACGCCCCCCCCCCCCCAATTTCGCATTACACTGTTGGACTTTCTTCAGTAAAATATTGTGCTAATCATGATTCATGACACAAGAGTGTCACACTATTTATTAAAAATTGTCTGCGAAAAGGCAAAAATGTATAGACTTCCGCCCTCTTAAGAGTCTGGATAACTAAAAGATTTACAGTATGTTTTCCTTCATTCGTTTCCGAAAAATTCAACGAGACGCGTTGCATTAGTTTGGAGCGCTGGGATTAAGGTTTGTTATTTAGGTGTCACTTCGGGTCAGTTTGTTGTCAATTTACGTTTTTTGGCGAAATATTATGGTATGCTGATTACGCTGTTATCCATGCATGGATGTCGTACATAAATTTAGAGAATGGCGTTTACGTGTAACTGGGAAGTACTGCAAAAACGTTCCTAGCGTATTTCATACAAAGAATATACTGTTGTATATTCTTTTTCGTGTTCAAAGCAATTCCAGACCACAACACTCTTGCGGCCTTGAATTTTCTCTGAATTTATTTTTATCATCACAATTGAATTGTGATGATAAATCGTGTGGTCCTTTTATGAAGGATTTTCGGTTCTCAAGGATACTCATATGTGTTGGAATTATTTAAGGTAATTGCGCTTTAACGACTTGAACAGGTCTGCTCGTGGAAAAATGAAAAGTACTTCGGCGTTTTTATTGGGAAAATATATCGAAGATTTCCGACGAGCTGACCTTAAACTTGGAACGATTTTCGAGGATTAACGAGCCAGGAAGGCGGCAGTGTTTGAAGGAATGACGGCGGTCTATTCCAAGGTCAAAATTTCATTCCGTTGGGTGAACAGGGCACTTTTTTCCACTTGTCCCC